TGCATAGCCATCAAACTACGCACGGCTCTATATCCTGCCGCCTCGACAGGCTCGCGTTTTCGCTCGCCTGTCTCGTTGGCAATTATTCCTTCCCACCCAACATAGAGAAGCAAAACCTCGATCCGATCCACATGTTACGATGCAAATCCCCAATTCCGTATGTGCACACTGGTCTGAGATGGTCGATACAAGCACAAACACAAGAAATTAAAATTACGATCAAACTTTATTTCATTTTGCTCATATCTCTAGCCACAAACATGCCTTGCTACTATAAAAACATTTAGTTCTCTTTACCTTTCTTCAGTTCCTTGATCGACTGTTAATATAACCTAACTATACTCTGTCTGTGAAATTTTATCTCCAGTCCCGTTTAATGTGAAAAGAGCGGTTTTAATATGGAATGCCATTATCTGCTTGATAAACATACTTAATCTGGTCAAATGTTAATAAGTAGGGACTTGGGACAGGGGAGTTGCACTCTTCAGTTTCAAAATGAATTTTGTTCACTGACACTGTGCCATTCTTTCTTTTCGTGTGACGTCATCGCCGTCATGTTGATGGTCATTAACAAAAGATTTCTAATTAGCTGTTTTTGTTTGCACCACCAAAATGGCCGCCACGACTTTGTTATTCCGGTCTCTCGCTGGATTGGTGACAAACCACCTTTGATTTCTAATCAATACGAACACATGAAAGGTAAACCGGAGAGTGAAGATCAGAACATGTTTAACAGCAGTTGGTTTTCACAAGCACTCAACAATATCTTGATTTACCAGCTTATTTACTATGTAGAGCAATACAAATGCCCTATCTGGCACATGACATTTTCATTACGGAAATGTTTGGGTCTTGCAACGCTTCAAATTCCGACACGTGACAAAGTTTTCAATTTTGCGTAGAGACTAATAAACGTACATTTAAGCTAAAATAACTTCTTGAAATCAGAAATAAACGTTGATAAATTATTACAACGTCTCTGTTTCATTGTAGGATTCCAATTAACGGAAAAATCAAGTGCTTTAAGAAAACATATATACGTACTAAGTTTTTATTCCAATTGAAAGAAATTAGTTTTCTACGCAATGGCTTTGGCCTCCGGTAGGAAACCTTCCCAGTATTTGATCAGCTGTGAAAAAAAAAATTGGAAATCATTAGTTGACAAGGACATATTAACAAATAGATAGGTCACGATTCATGTATATCGCACTTTATTATCAGCAATCGTACCAACTTAGAAAGCTATAAGAGCATAATAGTTTATGTAAGCACTTATTTAGGCCGTTAATTGGTTATCGTCTATCTTATCTAGATATAATCGTCCGTATCAGAGATGGGTCTCTACGGGAGGGGGCTCTACGAGAGGGGGTTCTACAAGAGAGGGCTCTACAAGAGAGGGCTCTACAAGAGGGGGCTCTACGGGAGGGGGGGTCAAAGGGGGGAATCAAGTGGACGAGATTCGGGGCCGCCTTTTTGGTTTCTAAATTTCAACATTTTTGCTTTTTTCTGCGGCAGGAAATGGGCCAAGTTCGTTTGCCACCCTTCCCACTTTTGCTTTTGATTTCACCCAGAAAGTTATGCTTTCACAATTTTCCGGCAATCTTTGTTTCTTGTTTTAAGCAGATTTAGATAGTAATCGCTTTTCGAATCAACTTGCAGGTAGGAATCAATCATGTTAATAGCATTGACCAGTTCTTTTTACCGCGTGTAAAGGCCTTTTTGACACAAATTACTCAAGTCATCATTGTAAAAAACAAACAACTAAACAATAACAACAACAACAAAACTATTTCACGCTACCTCCCCTCCCTTAGTAACAAACCTGTTGCTGGCTTTCCATCATGGCCTCTAGGTACTTGACCATCGATTCACGGAAATCTTTCACTCGATTTTTCTGTCGAGGAAACGAAATCTTTAGACCAGTTTATTGTAAACTGGGTTTGCGTCAGCCAAGCTCTGAACGATTGCTTCAATCATCATGCAACTCGTGTAAACTGCTCCGACCAATCAGGGTATGCATGCTGTGATTTCAACCAATCAGAAGCAACAACCAAAACCAACCGTGACTTGCTGTTCGCGCGTTTTCCCGCGCTTTGCGCCGATGGCACGTTTTTGCTTTGAGTTCTTATTGGTTGATTTCGATACTATTCGTTCGACATGTTAAAAGAGATGAAAAAAATGGTTTGATTTAAGAACATTAATTTATTAGTTTTTTTCCTTCATTCAAATGCTTTTATTTCATTAGACTTGTAAATAGGCTAATTTTTAAATTATTCTTCGGTTTTGTAATTTCTTTTGAGGTAGGTGCCCTCTATTAGCAGAGGGTTATCCCTTGGCTAAACAATTTCGACAAAAAGTTATTATTATTATATTCAGAAGCTCAACAACTCTACCTGAAGTTAAATAAATTGCACCACTGTCAATGAAAAGTTCTTTTCTGCTGTTGCTTTTATTGTCCTTTTCACCGGTGTTTACTTATTTCTTTTTTATTAATTTGCTCGGCAACAATGTCACTGCAATTCATTCTGGATGAGATGTATTAAGCTGATCTTCAAATCCACATAATGTGCACCCTTCCTCCCCGGTATATTGGATGCTTTTCACTTAACAGGTGACTCGCTTGTTCACATTCGTTATGCATATTTCTCACCTCAAATCGTGCCATCTCTTTCTGGATCATCTTTGAAATCTTTCCAAAATCTTCTTCCCCTTTCTCTACCTTGTGCTCCCACTAAAAATGTAAAGAAAAAGAAAGGGAGAAGACACAGTATTTTCGCTTCACTCACATTATCACCCGTCGACACAAAAATTGTTCAATCGTGTACGCCAAGTTGACCAAAAAAACAATGCTTTCTAATCAGGTCTCAAGCAACGCAGTCGTAAGACCCCAACCAAATTTCTATTCGGATTGCCAGCTTTCTAACCTCTTTGACCTCCTCCTGTGCTTGAGGGAGTTTTTCATTCTTAGAGGCCAGTTCCAGCTTGACCAGAGCTTCTCTCTTCTTGGTCAACATCTGCTGTGCATGCTGCCAGTTACTATATGAACGTACACGTTCCTGGAAACTTGCCTGTGGAAAACAAGAATCACAAAACAGTTTATGTTTTGATGTGGGTAACCGCAGAGAATGAAAGGACAACCTTTGGTTTTACGTCATGGAGCGGGGCAGCAGTGGTTGCACGTGACCGCGCGGCATGGCGAAGAAGAATCTACGGTCCAATACCCCAGGGGGGTTGTGAAAAAAAGGTCATCATAATATATAGATTTAGGTTAGCCTAGAAACGTAGCTCCTGGAACGGTTGTTCAGAGCTGAATTAAGCTAACCCAGGAAAAGGTAGAATTTTGATTTGAGTTTTGTAACTTTGCATTGAGGTTTGGCCTTCTGTTTTGAGTTTTAATAATCACTATAAACACAAAAAAAGCAGCAAAAACCATTTGTATAGAAGAAAAGTTATAATTCGCTTAACTTTTAATCCTGGGTTAGCGTTAACCGGCTTCCCAACAATTCTGCCCTGTTTTTAACAAGTTAACCTGAGATGAGCCTGCGATGCAATCGAAAATCAGCATTTGTAAACTTGAGCCTGCGATATGGTCACATGATACTGGTCAGCGGATACTTTGTTTTGACAGGAGTCAATTGATCATAACATGGATGTCCAATATTAAAGAAGTACACGGTAAACCAAGGCTGCATGTCTGTCAACCTATTATTTGGAGTATGGCCGCCATGTTGGGCAACTCCGCCGCCGCCGTCGTCGTCGTTGTGCGTATGCGCCCACGAGCAATACCGCTAGCCATGATAACCATGAGAAAATCAACTCATGGGTTTCCTTTTCTTTCCTATATGAGTATGGGGCTCCGCTTGACGGCCCTTTGGGCCGCCAGAGCTCCGCTATTACATGTACCTTCATAACATGATTTCACTGGAAGCTTACAACACTAGGAGAGTATATTTTTTCGGAAAGAACAAGACCAAGCAAACAATATAAAACATCCTTCCGAACTACCAGGAAACTTCAGAAGGAGTTTAACTGTTATATTGTGACAGAAATGGCTTTGTTTCTCTGATGTAATGAGCCATCCTCAACAGCAACATAGAAAAATAATGGTTTAAAAACTGTCTGTGCTTTGCTCTGAATATTTCTAAGAACATATCTAGCGACGCTTCATAGAATACCACTAGTGGAGATTTTTTAAATGATCTTCCAGCATTCAGGGTGTTGAAATCAGAGACTGATATATAACAGTATAGCAATTGATCATTGAAATACTGTATGATAGCAAACATAATGAAGTACATACATTTACATACATACATTTTATTTTTGTTTTCAAATCAAAATTATAATTATAACATGCCCACGGATAGCTGAACTAATCTAGGTGGCTCATGTTTACATGAAACATCAAAACATCAAGACATAAAAACATCAAAACATCAAAACATCAAAACATCATTCCTCACCTTGACTGCCTGAATGAGACCAATGTAATCCTTCAACAGTTCAGCCACCACATAAAAGTCAGAGTCCGCCTGAAATGCAAAGGAACAGACTACAAGTCAAACAACCTCATAAAAAACGTACGTACCTAAGTTTCAGTAGTCTTTTGTTAGCAGCTGTTAAGAGTACACATCCCTTGCAGCAGTTTAGAATTTCTGTTCGTGGTCACTTAATTGCACTTTTTGAATCAATCATCACTGATGGTGTGCATTTACAATGCAATTTTTTCAGAATTTCCTTATGTCTCCCCTTGACCAGAAAACAGTGGCTCATTCTTCAAACATGCATGACTGTAAAACAGGCAACATGCCTTTTCAAATCATTGTTGCTCGTATGTTAGGAATGCACTTAGCTGGTGCAAAGGAAAGTTTCCTTCAAGAGCTCAGTGCATTCCTCATGATTGCAACTGATTGAGATCATGTCAACTCTATACGACTATACTTAAACAATTCCAAGCAGAGATAACAGAGCTTTAGATATACATGTGGCAAAACAAGTACAAGTTTTGAGTACAACTTTTGAATTTCAATGCAGTTATGCTCCCAGAGCCTTCACTTCTCTCTGTTGCTGACCCGTTGAATACATGTAAGAGACTGGTGTGAAACAAGATAATACAAAGTATCATCACTAGCTTTGAAAAGTTCCACTCATGCTCACTACTGTACCTGTACACTGACTTACAAGTCCCTATTAATATCTAGCTTTAGGAATACCATTAAATTTGTGAGCATGATCAGCTCACAAAAAAGCAAACATCAAACTCTCCCAGCCAGACCAATATAGAAGGGCATGGCAATTGGTAGAGAGCCTCATAACTCAGGGCTGCCTTACACTTTGGAGTTATCCATGAATAAAGTAAGAGAAATCCCGAGGGAGCACTGCCATATATGGGCTATATAGGTATGTGCTGCTGTGAAGGGTATGGTTTTCAAGCAGTTTAC